CCCAAGGCATAGACGTAGAACCACCTAACATCCTTATTGATGGAAAATCCTTAGTTGTTGCTAAAAAATCCGCTTATCTTGGATCAAGAATCACTGACACAAACTCATTAGATGCTGAGCTTGATACACGCAAAGGTAAAGCAGCAACCACTTTTGGAAGATTGCGTACTCGTGTATGGAACAACCGGAATCTTACCATCAAACTGAAGACTCGCATCTACATTGCTTGTGTCTTAAGTGTTTTACTTTATTGTATGGTTGGGTCAAATTTGTGTGGTGGTTGAAAAATACTGGGGGAGTCTTTATGGCCCAAAATAGTGATTTCAGACTACCGGGTAATGTAATTCGACGGGTAAATTACAGTAACATTTTTAGCAAATTTCTTTGAAAAATATCGTAGGCATAGGGCCTAGCTACGTATACAGTATTTTCATTTTACAGTAGTTTGGAACGATATCGGAAGTGGGGGTGCTGGCAGTGGCCTGCTATTAGGACTACAATTTATTTGAAAATATCTTGGGTCCGATCGTCCACACCAGTTGGGCCCAATCGTCTATCACCCGAAGTTTTCATTACGATTATCAAGAACGTACACGATCTATGCCCTGGGCTAGGCTTAGCTTGCTGTTGTCACTCTGCTACGTATACTACTACTACCGCATAACAAAGAAAGCGACCCACGTGGTGCATTCTTAAATATTACACACATTATTTAATTGTATTAGACGATAACACGATATCATTGATTGAACGATATAACTACCCTCGCATCGCAGTAATACTGAACTAGGCCTAGCTTAGGCCTCACGTTTTTGTGGAAAGCTAGATAGTCGTTATGTACCCGACAGTCGGCTGCCTTTATATTTTCACCTGTTTTCAGTTTGCATTCAAAGGGTACATTGCTGCACAGCCAACTGTCGGGGATATAGTACCTTCAAATGACTACTCATACGTATACAACAGAAAAAAATGTCGCATGGACTTAGTGAAAATTGAGATCTAAATGAAGAAACGATGTATTTCAGCAAGTATTAAAACATTTTTTCAAATACCTTACATTAAAAACTTCTTCAAAATACCTATGCCTACAGCAGATGATTTTTTTGCCGTGAAACCAAAATAGTTTCATCCATGCCGACATTCCGGTCAGTTAGCGTGAGCCCTGACTGAACTCTGCAGAAACTTCACATCGATCTTCGCATCGCGATGTAAAACAAAATGTCGGAAAACTTTTCTATGACGCATGCGCATTTGCATAAATGTCTACACACACACTCACACACACTACACACAATAAAAAACATAGGAAATAGCAAGAGTGATTACAATAGTTCCTATTGCATTACATGCATAGGAACTAAAAAGGGAAGCTTCTTTTCAAAATATATGCTGTAAATTTTCGGAATTAGTACTATTAAACAATAAATAGGGCCACTGTAACATCAATCTGTATCATGGAGTGTATAAACAAGTGTGTTTTTAATTTATTTAGCTCCTTTGAAATTTATGTACAGTGTTATACTATCTCGAAAAGCAGCCTATGTTATCTTGGAAAGAAGCCCATGGGCTTCTTTTCAAGGCTAATTTTGCAAACTAAATAGGGGGGGGGGCTTCAAGTAGAGATGGACTTCTTCAATTCAAGGTTTTACGGTATCTCATTCTCATTGCAAGTAATTTTAAATTTTGTAGTTTTATATTATCGGTTTTTTTAATGCATTCAAGTTTTTTTTCTAGTGAGTGCTAGCTAAAATATTGTTTTTGACGCTCTTCAATATACATTATATATATCTAGATGTGTATAAGAGACAGTATATATATATATTTAACTCGGGAATAAATTAAAAAAAATATGAAAAATGTTTTAAAAATTGCATTTATTACATTTGATAATACTGTTAATCAGCATTAAATCACATTTGTTTTGTACAAATTAGATAAGAATCCAACATTTGTTTATGTTTTAAGACCTTTTTAAAAGAAAATTTATTCATCATTATGATTACTGTCCCGAAGTTACCACATGATTTTTAAATATGATCATCATAATTATATAAGTCATCATAATATATTTTTATTAAAGATATCCTATTAAAGCTAAATATCTCTTCAATGCATTCCATATCAATAAAGTGCATAATATGCCTTAGTTTCACAGATTTTATGTTTAAGTAAATAAGTTAAAACTATTTCATGTCCTGAAGTTACCGGAGATATTAAAATTAATATTTAATATATGCTTGTACATATTTAAAGTTTTTTTTCAATAGAAATGTACAGTAGGTAGCAGTAGCAAGTACAATGTGTAACTGTGATTTGTTGATCATAAAGTCTAAAATTTTGTGTCAAAGTGTCCAGAAGTTACCGTGGAATTGCCAGTTGTCATAGGAAGTTTTACCAATGCAAAGATAGGAACATGGCTAGGTGGGGGTACTTTGTAGGGGTTCTTACATCACCTTAGCAAACTGATATCAAAGATTTAGTTTTTTTGTAATGTACACTCACAGTACTTTGTTCTGGCAAAATTTAGTCCATGTGTTAGATGGGGTGAAATTGACTGGTTTTTAGGGGTTTTTCGAGGGGGTCTGCGGGTGACCCAACCCCAGGGGTTCATCCTACATACTTTCTTTCAATGTTTTTGATAGCCTAACCAACATTAGGAGGTCAAACCTTCTAGGCCAAAATGGAGTGAAATCTTATGTTGCTAGCTCTCAGACTATTTATATTTGAACAGATTTTCCCCAGAAGCCATTATCGAAAAATGTCCCATATAAGCTAACGCTATAAAGCGATATCCCTCAAAGGAAGTCCTAGTTTTTATCGTTCAATGGTAAATGCATTATCTGATTTTAACCAGTGTGTTTAAGCTCCCAATGGGTTATAATAAAATATGCAACAAAAGGTATTGGTATTCTGTAACACCATGATTGTTTTATTATGTAAAAGAAAGTGTTTCTTCAGCTATGTCTAATAGGAAAATATGAAAACCATGAAAAAGGACGATAATGAATGGCTACCCCACAACTTTAAAGCAATGTACAAAATCAATTCCTATATCAGTTGTAAATGCAGACATGCGAACCACTCCGATTTCGGCGGAGTTACTTCAATTATTTAAGCAAAATTCCGCACTCCGATTTTGGTTCGAAAATCTCCGCTTTTTACACATTTTAGCCTCATTTCTGAATAAAAATGATAATCTTATGATTTAGTAAAAAGCAAGACCACAAGCCCCTCTCCCACTAGGGTTTTTTCAGCATACGAGTTACAAGAGAATGCCGAGTTGCCAACTCGGCAAAAACTCGTAGGACGATTCGGAAAGCTCGGAGAGGACTCTTATCTACTCGTAGCAGCTCTGAACTCGTGGCGCTAATTTTGAACAAAAAAATTATCGCCACGAGTAGATAACTCGTAGTAAACTCGAAGAACTCGTAGGTAGCTCGTAGAGTACTCGGGGTACTCTTACCTAGCTCGTACACTACTCTGGATACTCGTCGGCGGTTTTGTCATCTACGAGTTTGATGCGAGCACCCAAAACGTGTACGAGTAAGTACGGTACGAGTGCACCGAGTTGGCTCGTACCTAACTCGTATCTAATTCGGTACAAACTTGTTACGCTCGTAATAATCTCGTAGTTAACTCGGTACTCTGCTCGGCATAATTCGTACATAACTCGTAACCAACTCTATAAAGTCGTACTACCTCACTCGTAGCTATCACGTAATAAGCTCGTATAGGTCCTTCCCAAAGATCACGAGTTTTAACTCGTAGAAATCGTACGACTCTTAGGTGAAATAAACCTAGGTGGGAGAGGGGCTTACATTTCGTCCTGAAAACAGCGCACCGAAATGTATACAAAATAGTAATTTGCGCTCTATGGTCTACTGATTTCAACAAAAACCAATTTTATTGACCTAATTGCTGTCAGAAAAATTAATTTGCGCTCCACAGTCTACTGATTTTGAAAAAACAAATTTCATTGGCCAAATTGATGTCTAGAGTTGCACTGCACTCTGAACTGTATAGTGCTCCATGGTCTACTGATTTTGTAACAACAGTAGTCTAGTAAAGCACTATTTCGATAAAATGGAGTCCAACGAGAGCGATATGGGTGTAGGCTAAGCCTAGGCAGTACCAAAAAATGAGTAGTAGTGTTGAGCTTCCTCCAAAAAAGAAGCTAAAACACACGCAAACATGCAAATTAATAACGGAAAGTATCCTGTCAGTTTGGAATCAAAACAACTGTAGGGGATGCTTACGTTACGCTTGTTGTGATTGGTGTGGTGTTAATTTTCTGCCTACTGTAGGCTTAGGCTAGGGCCTAGGCTTGCACGGCGGTATTGCTGTTGTGAGTCAAAACGGTTACATTTTACAATCCGATCACATTGATACTCAGGAATACTCCTCTCACATTGCCAAAAATCCGCTAAGAAGTTTTTCAAACTCCTCTTGTTGTCCTTGTAGGGTTGGCATGTCTGTAATATTAATTCAATTATGATTTATAATGATATTGATGAATAAATGTGGTGGTTTTGCCACCACAAAAAAAAAAATAAATAAATAAATAAATACTGGATTGGTATATATTATTAGAAGAAAGAGTTGATTAAACTTTTGGAAGAAAAGATGTCAAGGTACAAAGTCAAGTTAACGGAAATTAGCCTGCCTGCTGCGTATTCTTCAATATTCAGGCTAGGCGCGGGGCAGAAAACAATGGAATCGTCCATTGTTTTATCTATTTATATATTTATTATAATATAAAATTATAATATAAGTATATAATTATATATAAGTGTATTTATTATTTTTATTATATAATAGAAAAACAATACACGGCCTGTGTATTGTTCAGTATTCAGGCACGGGGCCGAGGTATGCAATCTATGGAGTCTATTATTGTTCTTACTATACTATAATTGATATCAATTTTGCTAATATTAATAATTATTAATTTATATCATGCATAATTATTATCACTATTAATTCTTTTATATTTGCCTCAGGTTATAACATGTACATTTCTGAACAAAACAAACGTCCTGGACAGGTCGCCCGCTTTAAAACTCCAGTAATCTCACCGCCACGGGGGTCATCTTACTGCATACAATTTTCTTACATTTTAATGGGACCATATGTCGGTCAGCTTGAGGTGATTACAGAGAACGAGTCACATGGTGTCAGTGACCCCATTTGGATTTCATCAGGATTACAAGGACCTTACTGGAACACAGAATATATTGACTATCAACCAACAAATTCATTTAGGGTATGATCCAAATTCTGTGTTTGAAACTACAATTGTATTGATGATGATGTGGATGGTTGTGATAGTGGCGATTTGTAATAATTATGAATAATATGATGGTGATTTTGGTATGCAATATGTATGTGTCAGTTTAGATATAGTATAGTAATGAGCTAATCTGATTTGATTCTAACGAATTCCTCAGTGTGGCTCATTTCGCTAAGACGTCTGCAATTGCAAAACATCGTGAAACATTTAAAAAAAAGTATATCTCACTAATAACTCCATGATCTGAGGAGGAAAATTTTTGTTCTTATGAATCTGAATCGTAGCCTGACATAATGACATTAATAGACATAATAATAATAATAATAAACATAATGATTATGATAACAATAATAAACATAATAATAATATTTTGATATGAACTTGCGTCAGAAAAATATCATAGGAGTGATACTTTGCCCTACCTGATGTGTTATTGTACTGAATAGGCCTACTCTGTACGTTCCAAAATATTTCAGATTAAATTCGCAAGTGATTCGGTTGGGAAACGAACCCACGACCTCCAGATAACTAACCTAACGCAGTAACCTAGACTACGCTTGCGCTTAGTGACTAGTGTTGAATCCCATCCCCAAGTAGCACCGGATACTGTTGCTATTTTGATGTGAGTTTACGTTAGGAAAATATCATAGGAGTGATATTTTGACTACCTGATGTGTTATTGTACCAAATACTCAGTGCGTTCCCAAATACTTGCAAAAATTTCGCAAGTAATTCGGAATCAGTGACACCTCCCATACAAATGGTGTTTACCGCTTGGGGTCAAAATGTCACACAGGGGTCTTTTTTTTTCTTTCATTATTCAATATCAAAATCGCAGTCGAGGACTGAATTAAATGATACTTACAATAATACAGAACAATAATATAAAAACATCAAAGGAAAGTAATATAAAAACTAAAGACCTGAGATGCAGATTTTTGAATATTTGAAACTGAGGAAAAGGAGCATAACCACTCTTTTCCCACCAGTTTGTAAATATTTAAAAATCTGTGTCTCACCAACGGCTCCCGTGTTTTTCGTCAAATATGCTTTTTGTGTCTTAGAAAAATGAGTTGTACAGCATGTCAAAAACTGTTTTCGGCCCTCTGGAGCCTGCTTTGAAGTCTACTGTCACAAATAACATAGCACAGTTTTGTCCTTGCACATACCGTGTAGCGGCTATTTATAATTCCTCAGTTTTGAGTAAAGTTTATTTGTGAGCGTCACTTGACGTCAGGCAGACAGCAGAGCGAGGCTTCGATAGGTGCTGTCTCGGTTAATTAATACAAAGTTTAGGTTGAACAACAGTTGGTAAGAGATATTAAGGTATGTTTACCGTACTATACTATAACTTATAATTTTAGGCATTACATGATTGCATTAATTTAGTCTAAACTTTATTATAAATTGACCAGAAAGAGTAATGTTTATTTGACGGTATAGGGTAGGCCTAGCCCTACTATTATGTTATGCGTACAGTACAGTGGCTGTAAGCTTGCGAGCTAAATGCTCGCGCGTGTAGTAGAGTGGCATCGTTGGCGGCAATGCGTATGTTACGCGACTTGTTTACAATTACACTATAAAGTGTTATACATGTTGTATTGGGTATACTGTTTATAATAATAGGCTTAGGAGTACTGTAATTCGAAATAAATACGATGTGATTATATACGAATTATTATTAATTAGTGTTATTATTTGTGCTGATTATATTTGATTCATTGTTATTGATTATTTCAGAGAACGACTTCATGATTAAAAACTACAAAACTACAGGTTGTTACGAATTGTGAGTCTGTTCAAACGTGTACAACCCCTGTAGTCACGCGAGCCGAGGCTACATAAGTTCACAACTAAGTTGACCTCTTATACGGATACTGTTTAAGTGGAATCTACAAGGATGGAGGACAATGATCAACGTGTGTGATAGTGGGTGAACGCAGTGGCAAAGGAGTTACAAACGACTCCTACTAGTGACATAGAAGGTGATATTAGGCCTACATCAAGGCAGTCAACAAACTCTGAGCATGAAATTGATGGAGCATCAAGGCCAATCAGTTCAGGTGCAAGGCCAAAGGAAAGAAAACTGAAAAAGGAACTATCATTAAGCCCTGTGAGTGTAAGATCCAGGAGAAACAGTGCAACATCGGTAACCAGTAAAATATCGAGGCGCTCAAGTATTCTACAGTAAAGGTACAAGAAGCCAGAGTGAGGACACAGATGGCAAAGCTCAAAGTGCAGCAACTGGTCAGGTCCCATGAAATGACTTTACAGAAGGTAAAATTAGAGCAGCAAAACAGCGATGATGAGGTTGCCTTTCCACCTCAAATAAGAGGTGAAGATACATCTAATAGACCTATGTATCAAAATGTTAGTAACACAAATGATGTTAATGTAATCCCTGTGGAAATGCCTCAGGAAGAAGTTGAAATCGTAATGATACTAAAATGAATATGTTAATACTGTTGATAAAGAATCTGGTTTGACACAAGTGTTGCAAACCTTGGGGCTTCATGTTAATATGCCTAAACCAGAAATAATTTTATTTGATAGTAATCCATTCGAATACTGGAATTTTACAAATGCATTTGATGTAAATATTGCACGTAGGGCCACTGATGACAGGGCCCGACTAACCTATCATATTCAGTTCTGTACAGGTAAAGCTAAGAGTAGCATTGAAAATTGTGTGCTACTTGAGGCGTCGCAGGGGTACACGCAGGCCAAGCTAATCCTGAAGGAACAGTTTGGACAGCCACATCTGATTGCAAGGGCCCATCTAAAGAAGGTATTGAACCTACCCCAAATTAGACCTAATGATGATACTGGAATGTGCGACTTAGGCAGAGATATGAGAAGATGCCAGACTGCTTGAACAAATGTCTTATTCTGTAGATATGAATTGTTCTGACACCCTTCACAAAGTACAACTACTACTACCACTACACCTCCAGACAAAATGGACTAAGAAAGCTCAATCGGTTATGGAAGCAAAAATGGCACATGACTTCAAGGGCATGACAACTTTTACCAAAGAAGCAGCTAGATTGGCGAGTAAGATGTTTGGCCAAAACAACCCATTAAGAGTAAGTCTGCAAGATCAACTTTTGCTGTCAGGGGAGAAGATGTGCGCAAGCAAGATACTTGCTTGGGAGAACACTAACTTGAGAAGTGTGATGTGTTCGGTAAAGCAAATTCTAGAGAGAAGCTACAAATGGTATGGAGAGGAAGGCTATGTGACAACTGCTTTGGAAGATCACATTTTGCATGAGAGTGCCGTAAAGATTCAAACTGCCTGGTTAATGAATGCAAATGGAAACACCATGCTCTTCTGCATAGAGGTGAAGCAACACCTAATATGACAAATCTATCGACCATTGTACGTGGGAAGGTGTGCCTCGGACTACTGCCAGTAAGTATTACTGGTAATGGAAGGGAGGTTATGACCTGGGCTTTACTCGATGATGGCAGTGACATTACATCGTGTGACTATCGGCTAGCACAAAGTTTAGGTATGACAGGCAGACAGAAAGAATTTCATATGACTACAGTGGGTCAGGAAAATGTAAGGGTCAAAAGAATTGAACTAGAAGGTCTAACAGTTACTGGACTACATCAAACGGAACCAGTTATTCTTGACTTGGTATGGACTGTGGGGAACTTACCAATCACAGAATGTTGTATGCCAAAAGAGGAAGATACAAGAAAATGGAAACATCTTGATGGAATTAAATTCCCTTGCATAAAGGATAAAGAGGTGATGCTACTGATAGGAAGTGATGTACCAGAGGCATTCTGGGTAATAGAAGAGAGGCGTGGTGGTATGAAAGAGCCATATGCAACAATGTCACCATTGGGATGGACGTTAATTGGACCAACAAATTCAAAGCAATGTAGACCCAGTTTTAAGGTGAATTTTGCTCTATGTGGTAATGATCAACTTATGGATCAATTGGAGAGATTCTGGAAGACGGATAGCAGTGGATCTGTTTTTGAAGATATCGAGTTTGGCGAATTGATTGAAGACAAGAGAGCAAGGGCTTGTATGGGAGAGTCAACAGCTAAAGTAAATGGTCACTACCAACTCGGGCTTCCATGGAAATATGATGAACCAATCTTACCAGACAATAGGAAGATGGCAGATAAAAGACTTCGGTGTCTAAAGGGGCGTTTCATGAGAGACAAAGTGCTTCATGACAATTATTCTACTACGATGACAGAGTACATAGATAATGGGTTTGCACAGGAAGTGAAGGCCGAGCAACCTGTTGTAGAAAAGAAATAATGCCAAACAAGACCTGGTTTCTACGTCATCACCCTGTGATAAATCAACACCAGCCTGGCAAAGTTTGGATAGTGTTTGACTGTGCTGCTAAATATAAAGGTGTATCGCTGAACAGTCAACTATTCAGGGGTCCAGATTTCACAAATAACCTGGTAGGAGCTTTAACCAGATTTCTTCAAGATAAAGTAGCGATGGTTGCTGATATACAATCTATGTTCCATCAGGTGAAGGTGTCCCCTTAAGACTGCGGCGCTCTTCAATTTCTTTGGTGGTCGAATGCAAACTTCACGGAAGAACCTAAAGTGTATCGGATGCTGGGTCATCTGTTTGGTGCCACATCCTCACCAAGTTGTGCGGGATATGTGTTGTGGAGAACAGCAGCTGACAATGAATCGGAAAATAACATTGCAGCAGTAGAAACTGTAAGAAATAAGTTTTACGTTGATGATTAAAATCAGTTAAAACTATGGAGGAGGCTATTGAACTGTCTAGACAGCTAAGGGAACTCTTAGCTAAGGGGGGATTCAGATTGAATAAATGGCTTAGCAACGATAGTCAGATTCTAGAGAAGATACCCAAGTCAGAAAGAGCAGCAACAGTATTTAACTTGGACTTACAGGAGCTACCAGTTGAGCGAATACTAGGCATTTCATGGAAAGTGGAAACTGATAAATTCACATCAAGGTTA